AGTGCTGCAACACTGGTGTTATAGGGCATTTCATGGGTGTTCTTGTGAGCAGCCTGGCTGCTGCATTCTGAACAATATGGAGCTTTTGGGTCGTAGACATCAGAAGGCCAACATACAGCGCGTTGCAATAGTCCAGCCTAGATGTGACCGTGGCATGGGTGACTGTTGCCAGAGCCTCATCAGATAGGTAGGGTGCCAATTGCCACGCTTGTCATAGATGGAAAAAGGCCTGTTTGCTGGCAGCAGCGACCTGAGCTTCCATTGTCAGCTTCGAATCCAAAACGACACCCAAGCCCTTAACGGTAGGCGAAGGAGATAGGGCAGCACCATCGAAGGTGGGTAGCAAATGGGTCAGACCAATCGAGCGGCCATGCCAGAGAATCTCAGTCTTTGCCAGGTTCACCTTCAGTCTACTAGCATGTAGCCAGTTCAACAGAGTCTCCAGACATAAGGTGAAATTGTCTGGTATTGACATTGCTCCAGGCTCCAAACGCAGGAGTTGGGTGTCGTCCGCATATTGATAGCAGTCTAGGCCGAAACTCCGAGCCAAACTAGCAAGGGGTCTAACATAGATGTTGAAGAGACCTTCATTCAAAATGGAGACATTAATCCAATAGATGCCGTACATTTCTATCATCACGGCAAAGGAAGCAATTCTTGGAATGGGATATTTCAGACCTTCCAAAATGTTTGAAATAAAAAAATTGGGAGCCCTCCTTTCCAAAACATTCAAAGCAGTTTCACTTGAAGCTTAAGCTGGATCCTCAATCCAAACAAAGTCCAGGGTCATTCACAAAGGCAGTCCAAACAAAGTAGTAGGCACAAGGAGCATTCCAAGCGTCTAGTCCAAAGGTCAAACACACAAGCAGCTTACCAATATCCACAACACAAAATACAAGGTTCAACGTCACAAGTTGTAAAATCCAACACAACTATTGCTTCCAGCAAAGTACTATTGCCAAAACCCATCTTTTATGCTGCCTCTGCAAAAGTCCTACAGCTGGTTGTTCCTTTTTTGGGCCAGCCTTTTTGACCCGCACATCTGAATCACATCCACTCTGAGCTGCAACCGGGCAATGAGCGTTAAGTCCTGCTCTCCCTCCCAAAGGGCTTCATCCTGCTTAGATTCAGCTGCTTCTACAAAGAAGGCAAGTTCATGATCCTCTTTTTTTTGTTGTCGTGTCAGGATCGACTTGGTATGAGAGAATTGGCCGTCTGCAAGGACATTGCCCAGGGGATGCCTGGATGATTTGATGTTTTTGTCATCCTTGTGGGAGGCTTCTCTCATGTCCCCGCATGAGGAGCTGGAGCTGATAGAGGGAGCTCATCCACTTCTCCCCGGATTTGAACCTGCGACCTGTTGGTCTTCAGTCCTGTCGGCACAGGGGTTTAACCCACTGCGCCACCGGGGGCTCTGAGGTATCCTCTGAGGTATCCTCTGAGGTAGTCTATATTCTATGGCTAAACATCTGGAAATCTTAACATTTTGCCAAAGTCATATTTCTCATCATTTAAATTCACTGGAACAACAAAAAACAACTTCACTCCATCTTCCATAGGACAATCCTTCAGAAAGATAATGATGGGTATCATACATTTTTTCCGTTCTTTCTGCTCATAACTAAAAATGTTCCTCTCTGTTAGCCATTTCTTGGTTTCCAAAACTTTCAGTATCTTTGTCGCTCATTGCTAACAAAAATGTGTGTCTCGGTATAATTACACCCTGTCAACATGCTTAATTAAATATATTTTGTTGATGAAAAGTATATCAAGTGAGCAATCCTAATTAATCACGCTGTCTTGATTCGGAAGGGATGCATTTGCATTATTCCAACACAAGAAACATGCAGTATTCAGAATCTCAGGATGCACCAAAAGCTGAAATGGTTTAATCTTCCTTTTCAAAAGAATGTTTGCTTAACATTCAAAAAGTGGCACTCAGAAATCCATCATAACTATCATCCTTTAGCACTAAGTAAAACCACCCACATATTAATAATCATCTTTAATAATCTTGTCCACCTCCACATGTATTCGTTATTGTCCATACTGAATATGAATAAGTCTTTCACGTAGCCCATCTATAAATATCCCCGGCAATGGTCATTAAAATGGTTTGTTTCAAAATCAACAAATCCATGTTTTTTTAGTCCCTTCTCCATCTCAAATCCCACAAAACAGGGAAAGGACAAACTGTGTGGGTAATGATCTGCAATATGTTAGATCGCTGACGTTTCTTTAAAAATTCTGAACGAATGTTTTTCAAGGGAAGGCTGAGGAGGGGATTAAACATTGCAAAGAAAGTAAGTTGCCTTTATAGCAGAGTGGATGATTATTGAATGCAATGCATATCTGGTTGCAAGTCCTCATTGTCTGGAAGGCATTTGTACTGTATATGGTGACCACTGTGGATTTTGACTCCAAAGTGTCTTACAAAGTTGGAGTTCCATCAGAATGATCATTGAATAATGGGCAGTCACCAGGGTTTGCTTTCTTTCTTTTTTGCATTCTAGATCTTTTTGTGAAAATTGTTTTGCACGTGCAAACCTCAGCTGTCACTGTTTAGCAATAACATGGTTGATACTAGGCACGGGCAATCCATGGTTCTAAATGGGTCTAAAGTACTTACAAAACTAGGGGGCACTGGTGCTTAGCTTCTACAGTGTTGCTAAAGTTCTGGTGGTGAAAATTTCAGAACTCTAACAAAACTTTCAAAATTTCATTATAAATGGGAGTTCCTAATTGGTTCTGTCATAAAAAAATCTCCAATAACGAAATAAAAATGAAATTTTGAAAGTTTTGTTAGAGTTCTGAAATTTTCACCACTAGAACTTTAGAAACACTTTAGAAGCAAAGTACCTGTCAAAATTGAAATTGAATAATAGTGCACCCTTGCTTGACACCTTTCTCAGTTTCGACTTCTTTGGTGAGATGACCCTGGAGACTGCATCTTACTTTCAGAGTGGTTCCTTCATGGAATGTTTGTATTAGTTGCAGGAGTTGTCTGTCTATTGAGGTGGACCCAAGTTTTTCCCATAGCTTGGTAAGGGAGTTGGAATCAAAAGCTGCTCTGAAGTCGACAAACACATCATAGAGAGAGGATGACTTGTGGGAGGAATATTTTTCTATGAGATGTTGCAATACTATGTATTGGTCAATAGTGGGATGTCCTTCCCTGAAGCCGGCTTGCTCCATACAGTCCAGTAGTTTCCACTGAAGGTGCCTTGTGTATATTGTCCCCATATATATATATATATATATATATATATATATATATATATATATATATATATATGGGGACAATAATTGCCAGCCCCCAGTCCTTTGATATTTGTCCATATTTGTCTATGCAGGTAAACAGGGATGCTAGGATGGGGGACCAGAAGTCCAGATTGTCTTTAATGACCCGAGGAGGGATCAACTGTCACTGGAGGCCACATGGGGAGATTTTCCATTGATGAAATTAGGCAGGCATTTCCACCCATTATGTCCAACAAGGTATCCCTATAAAGTTCCTGAAAATGTTTTTCCCAGAATGCTAAGGGTATTTGAGAGTCAACCAAGGTTCGATCCCAACTTTGAATATTAGATGTGGTATGCCAGAAGGTGGCTGCATCTTTTGTCTTGACAGCTTGGATGAGCTGTGCCCAGTTATTTTTCATGGCCTCTCCCTTCTTGCAAATCAGCAATTGTTCTCCTGTATCCCATACTATTACTCCTGGAGTTCTGGCTCAGCAAAGTGGGGAGTAATTGTACAATGGAAACCTCTGTCTGTAATCATCCCAAGTCCCACTGAATGATATACATGAATGATCCAGCACTAGGATTTTTTTTCTCTTTCTGGAATTCAATTGCCTATAGACCAGGTAAAATGAATGCTTAAGATACACAGTTGTCCATGTGTAGTTCCTTTCCTCCCTAAACCTAATAACCCTACTGATTTGAAGATTTGATAACTCCAGATGGCATCTTGCTCCCGGGTCTGTGCAAAATGTGCCAAAGTGTTGGGTGTAGAAAGCACTCATAATTGGCTCCTCGAATCTGATCGACACTCACCTTTGAGGACCCGACATCATTGTTGGCTCATTTTAGATTATCACTTTCAGCAGGATCTCATGAACAGCTTGCAACTGTCACCACCTCCCTTGAAAAGGCAAGTGTGTGATTCTCCCCATCTCCTTCTCCCAACTCCTTCTCACACAAGGCATTTCATCTTGCCATCCTTTCTGCATTTGTCACTTGCCTTCTTATAACCAACACATGCTCCTCGCCACTCAATTCCACTTGTGTTCCTCCGTTCAAAGCACAAGCAAAGAGACTTCACCAGCTTGGATGACTCCAGTTCCTTCATGCCTTATTGATACAGAAACTCCTTTGTCAGCAAATAAATAGCCAGAAAACGATGGCAGATCATTATTTCTGGAAAAAACGAATTGGAGCATTCTGTTCTCCCATCCAGACATGTTTGCCAATTGAAAAAATAATAATAAACATAAATAAAGATATTAGAAATCCTGGCTGTTGTTGGAGTGAAAAATAGTTTTTGTAGAAGTTGGAAATCTAGTTCTCTTGGGAAGTGGAGGTGCTGTTAAATTGGTGGTCTAGTACAACATGGGTAAAGTAGACAAGAGTTTCAGAATTTAGCTCCAAAACCATGGATAACTGAAGCCATATATATTGATTCCATAGATATGGAGGCCATATCTCATTCTTTACAACCTACTGAAAGTAGCTACAAATGCATTTACCAAACTATACTGAAGCCTTGTTACTCTCATTGTAAAATATTTCTTTTTCATGATAACTATCCAAGTGCTAAGTAATATGTATGTTATCTGTTGTTTTCTGGGGCTTTCCACTATTATTACAGAACAGTAGTGGAAATCAATTCCATAGAATGGATGTATCTAATGATGCCTCCAATAAGTTATTATATATTTCTATACGTTATTTGATTTGTTATTCCCTGGCTAACTTGTCTTCCTTTCCTTCTCCTCCAGACTTTGGAAAATCCTAAGTATGAGCTAATTATTGAAGCCAAGGACATGGGAGGTATGGATGTTGGATTAACAGGCACCGCAACAGCCACAATTGTAGTGGATGACAAGAATGACCATGCACCAGAATTTACCAAGAAAGAGGTAAATATATCTATTTTTTTCATGCAAAACAATCAAGTGTTTATGGACCAAATCTAGCTCTAAAACATGGGTGCGATTTATAGACATTAAGGGACATTAAAGGTCAATGAGGGATGTTCCGTGCTCCTTCAGTTGACTCATAGAGTCATGTTGGAGGGATAGAGATTCCTAGAGAAACATAGCAATGAATAAGAAAATCTGAAAAAGTTAAACTCGTCAATCTGTTATCATAATTGTTAAAATGATCTGGTTGCATCTTTCCCATGGTCTTGGGCTGATTGATACAGTTTTGTGGCATCTGCATTCAATTTCCCCCTACTTCCGTTAGGTTTATCTTCATTTGAGTCAAAAGCCATGACATGAAGCTTGATGACAATCACCAGGTTTTGTCAGGAAGCCGTCAAATGTTTCCCTTTAGAGAGAAGCTCATTTTGACAGTGCTGTAATGATTTGTCCAGTATCAGAATCTTTCAATTCAGTAGCAGTTTCCCTTCTTGAAAAGTGCCTCTTACGATAGTGAATTCATTTCTTAAGTGGGAGAGAAGTGGAGGTTCCCCACAACTCTGAATGAGATGTGAAGCTAGAACCTCTTCCGTGGAATACAGAATATGTAATGTGGGACTCTGTTTAAATCATATTGTATCACAAAGCTTCAATAATGGCACTACCCTTTGTTTGACTCTAAATCTATTTGTATCAGGTTGGGTAGATGTGGAGAGGATGGAGTTCTACCCAGGTTAAACCACTTTCTGTTCACCTACTTAAGGACTCAGCCAACATACATCGCCTGACACTGAATGGTCAGTAGAGGATCTCACCTCTGGGGTGAGATAATTCAGAAATACAGGCATCAGATGGCAGGAATATATAGCTCCTAATGACAGTTATCTCCCCAAATCTGAGGAGCTGGAGGCTGAAACAGCAGGAGGACCTGATCCCCAGCAGGAGATGGCAGATGCTAAAGAAGAAACACCATTGTATTGTCGAAGGCTTTCATGGCCGGAATCACTGGGTTGTTGTAGGTTTTTCCGGGCTAAATGGCCATGTTCTAGAGGCATTTTCTCCTGACGTCTCGCCTGCATATATAAACCCATTTTCCTACTTCCAACAGACCTCACTACCTCTGAAGATTCTTGCCACAGATGCAGGCGAAACGTCAGGAGAAAATGCCTCCAGAACATGGCCATATAGCCCGGAAAAACCTACAACAACCCAGAAACACCATTCCTCCTTCATTGAGCACCATAGAGATAGAGATTACCCTGATCCCAACATCTGTTAAATAGGAAATGCTGATTAATTAGGCACCTGGTGTTTTGAGGCAGCTGGCTATAAATCAGCCAGCAGCTCCCCAACATTTCTTTTGCCTAACACCATTCTTTCCTGGTGAGTGGCAGTAACCTTAAGCATTCAATAATAATCAAAGCATTGGGGTTTTTTCTGACCTTGGACTGGTTACAATTACCTTATCTGGACTGCTTACTTGTTATAATTATTCCTGGAGTTGCTGTTGACCACCCTATTATTTACATGTGCATAACAACACAGCACACATGCACATTAGGTCCAATGTCTGAGATTCATCTCTGAATATCAGGCTCTTCCCAAGGACTTGGGACATCAGAGGTATTTTCGTAGAATGTGCATGGTTCTAAGAAGTGCTGCTTTCCTTCTGCAGCCTTACTAAATTAAGGCTTTTCAAGTGCTTTTCAAGGTTTCTTGATATGCCTCCAAGAGCACCAAGTACTCTTGGTCCCACTCCTCTTTTGCCATAGCTGTCCTATTGCAATTTGTAAGTCGTTGTTGTTGTTGTTGTTGTTGTTGTGAACTGTATTTCTCCACATGGGGAGTCAAGGTGGCTAACACTTCGCACTAGACAAATATAAAAAGTGCAAGACAAAAGTTTTAAAAAAATAATTAAATAGTAACTGTAGTAAAAACAGAATTAAAATACAATAAATACAATTAAATGGCCTTTCAAACTCATATGCCTCTGACCCCAATCCCACCCAACCTCAACCTTCCTCTTGTTGGGTCATTTGAGGTTGATCTGGACTAAAATTACCTACTCAAAAGAGGTTTTGCACCTCCTAGGTAACTTGTTGACTCTAGAGCACAGGACAGAATGTGAAGAGACAGAGAAGGTCCATCTATGTCTTTGTAGATGGACACACAGGGACAAAGACACCTTCCAGAATGTTGCATTCCTACTGCTGCAGTGATTAAAAACGGCAGAGGAAACTTGTCTATGACACTAAAAGGATGCCATCTTCTCTGTGTGTGTGCCTGGATCAGTAGCCCATTAGCCAGATACATATGCAACATCTCCTGCATGTGTTGGACTACAACTCCCATCATCCCATGACTCGCTTCTCAATTTTCAAAAGAGTTTGGTATAGGTCTGTTCCTGTACCATTGAAACAAAGTCACCTCTAGGGCCATCCAGTCCAACTCCTGCCATGTGGGAATATACAGTCAAAGCACTCCCAACAAATGGCCATCCATACTGGAGACATTGTTCCAGAAACAGATGGCAAAGTCAGTTTTGAGGTTCATAGGAAGAAGTAGGCCTCAGAGTAAGCTGAAAGAGGTCCCATTTGCCTCTATAAACATGGGTTGCTCACGCCATTAGTACTACTTAACTCACTCTGCTGATTAGTAGAGACTGCCGTTGATGTAAGTTAATGAATTAATTAACAAAAGGAAAAGTACATTATGCGGATAAATGTATTCAGTGCAGGCCATTAATTGAATTTCCCTCCAGGTGTGGCCATTCTCTTTGGTTAGAGTGGGAAGATTGCAAAAAGAATAAAAGACTAAAAATAGCCTTTGAAAGAAAATTAGTCTCATTAGCTAAAGAAACAGAGCCATAACCTTTTAGGTTGTAATTACAGTTGCTCTGAAATACGATCCTAGAATTTTAGAGCATATTTCCGCTGCAGGTAGAGGAGGGGAAGTCTCCTAGCCTAGATTTTGTCGCATTTTCTCCCCGTCCTTGTTTCATATCAATTTGTGAGATCTTGGGCTGCCCTACTGAGAAACCTTTGGGGAGCAGCATAGAACAGCCTTTCACTGATTGATGTGTACACTGATTGATGTGTACATCCCCGAGTTACAAACATCTGACTTACAAATGACTCCAAGTTAAGAACTAGATCAGTGTTCTGGCTAATCTGCTACTTTGGAAGAGGTATTGTATCTCTCCATAGCTATGTGCTATCTCACTTTTTCCTTGGAGATTGGGGAGATCCTACCATAGTTGCTTTTCTTCCTAGTCTCTGAGTGATGGATGTCCTCATTTGGCATCTGGTCAAGAAGTGTCAAGCCAAGTGTCAGCATTTCTATTCCCATTGTGTTCAGGGCTTGTTCATGCTTCTTTGTTGCTGGCCAGCATTCTGCCCCATAGAAGGAGGGCTACTAAGCAGGCAACTGTTGTTGTAGTTCAGCGTGTTGGTCGAGTTGCTACTCCTGGTAGCAGGGAAAACGGGTCTACTCTGGAGTCGGAGGGAGAACAGCAGCGTCAGCGCATTAGGGAAATCATTATGGCTCCAAGTGATACTGACACGTTTCCAGGCTTCTCCAATTGTGAGATGGGGGATGGGGAAGTGAGCAGAGGTGTAAAAAGGGCTGCTCGCAAGCCAGAGTCTGAGGGGGAATTACAAAGGAAACGTATTCGGGAAATACTTTGTGCACCAACAGAGGATGAAGATTTCCTTGGGTTTGAAAGGAGTTCTGAGTCTGGGAGTGATATGGAAGAGGAGGAGGAATTAGATTGGACCCGTGTGCAACAAATAAGGGACATCTGTAACCAACCCACCTCCAGTGAGGAATTTGAGGGGTTCACTGGGGATTGGCAGCCAGGGGACTCTTGGCAGGATCTGAACCCTGACAATTAGGCCTGGGTAACAACGGAAAAATTTGTTTCTAAAATTGATTTGTATTTGGAGGGTTTTTTTGTTTCGATATTTAAAATAATTACAAAATTTTCCTTTTAAAAAGTTCGATATTTATGAAATTTCGTAAATGGTAAAAAATTAACGAATCGATTTCCGAAACAATAACGAATCGATTCGTTAATGGCGGGCGCGACCGCGAAATACGCTAAAAAACCTCCAAAACCTTCTGAAGCTTCCCTCTCCCTCTGTTGTTGACTGTTGGTGTGATATTATAATTTTTTTCACTAATTAAACCATAAAACTGGCCCAGACATGCGGAAATAATAACAAAACGACCTCAAAACAATAACGAAACGAATACAATATCGAAATACGAAGCATTTACAAAACGTTTTTGAAAATTCGTTTTTTTAATAATTGCTCCAGAATGGTTCGTTATCGTTTTGTAATTGAAAAAATTAACGAATTATTAACGAATTACGAATTAACGAAACGAAACCGCCCAGCCCTACTGGACAGGGGATCTGAGGGATTCAGCTGCAGGTTTGGGGGCAGCTGAGAGTGATGACGAGAGGGTGGGGAGGAATGCAAAGTGCAGTGGTTTCGTCTTTTCCCAATGTTTTTCCATGAGTAACCGGACAGCATGTATTGCATCTATTGTGCCATATCCCCTAACAAAGCTGCATTGAGTTGGTGTAATGACTATGTGACTTCTTAGCCAGTATTCTTTCAAATACTTTCATAAACATGTGACATTAAACTGCAGCAGATGCAAATATGGGGGGGGGGGGAAGCTGGATGCATCTTCCTTGATTCCCCACTCACCAGTAACATGGAAAGATTGCAGAAAGATTTTCCTTTTTAAAAATAATCCCAACCTCTACAACAGGCATGGGCAAACTCCGGCCCTCCAGGTGTTTTAGACTTCAACTCCCACAATTCCTAATAGCCTACCGGCTGTTGGAGGATTGAAGTTTGCCCATGGCTGCTCTACAGTAATAAAACAAGAAAGGTATATAAAGGTTTCCCCTGACATCGTGTTGGACTCTAGGACTCTGGTTCTTATCTCCATTTTTAAGCCAAAGAGCCAGCGTTGTCCATAGA